CTTTAAATGACTCACTATGAAATTTTTCGTGTAGCTCCAATACTGCTCCAAAGCATCGATCGCATCTGCTGTTTCTTCGATAGCGCCTTCATCTTCATCCGACTCTTCATCGGCCGCACCTCTTGATGTAGCCAGCAGGCTAGGGTTATTCACTAGCGTCCATTCCTCAGCAGTGGCACCAGTTGGGAGATTCTAATCATCCACACATTTTCGGCTTTTCAACATTCACGAAGCCTTATGGAGCAAAGGAGCACCTGAGTTAAAAGACCTTGTGTTCGCCACCATTCCAAGCGACGACGCGCAACTCCCTTCGAGATGGATAGTTTTTCGGCCACTTCGGCCACTGTCCAACTCTCTTAATCAGGCTAATTTACAAACGCATTTTTTCTGAACCACCAAGCAAATTAGATGTTGCTGGGCAAAGCGGTATTTTAAACAAAATTACAACCTTTTTCCAAGTAAAGGTAGAGGACTGCCGCTATCGGATTTGGCACGACCTTGTCAACTTCTACTTCACCTAACTTCAGCGTTACCTCCACACAGCTAAATTAGGTTGATTTTGTTGTTAAACAATTACTTCATTCTTGACCCACCCAATAGCTCTCATCCAATGTAATTTTCTGGACTCCTTATGATCCATGAATGCTTTCTCATACTCTATAAGTGCTTCCTCGAGAGCTGCAGGAAATTCCTAAACAATGAAGAAATGGAGAAATACAATAATAAGGTCATCATTCTCTTACCGAAACCGTTTCTGATACAATTTTCGGCCAGAAGTGCGATGATATGACACATGCTGATACGGGAATGCACTAAAAGCAAAGAATCTTCAATTTAGGTTGTTAGAAAAGCTAGGAACCTTTTTTCCAAGTGCCGTTCTATCAATCTTCTGGCTATCGCGTATGTCTTTTAGCATAACTTCACACTGTTGTAGCTCTCCTTCGTTGAATCGGAGTTTGAGTAGATCGAGGTATCTTCTTTCAAAAATAGGCTAAAATAACATTGAGGTACCAAATTCATTAACCTGAGGAAGATAAGTGAGTAGTTATCAAAAATATCAGCTCTGAAGCTTTAATCAAACCAAAGACCATACTCACGTCTTTCGTGTTGCTACTTGTTAGCCGCTCCGCAAGAAGTTGGCGGTATTCCTTAACAAACATTTCTTTGCTGCCATAAACGGAAACAAGCATGTTAAACACATCGGCTGCTTGTCGGAAACGACCACTTTCACCTAGAAATACTAGCTTTTGCTCAGCACTAGCAACATGTATAGTCAAATAGGAATTTCTATGATTTTTAAAATAGAGCGTAGACTATGGAATTCGATAACTAAAAATTCCGTACATGAGTCATCTGTCGTTGAAAGAAGTTGGTAACCAAAACTGTGACCAACCTGGACTAGCATCTATAGGATCAGGCATCCAGTGTCTCCATAAAGACAAATTCATGGCTTCTGGAAGAAAATCGTCATTGGCTCCAGTCAACTCGTCTTCATCCACAATGGTTCCGCAGCGATTCGCCTTCAATGACAAAAGGTAAAAGAAATTCTAAGAAGTT